AAACAATACAAGAAAAACAAGGAACTAAGACAAATAAATCACAATAACAGAAAACCCAAACAATAACAATATAGGCTTTCAAAACAAGTGATAGGAACATAACAAAGATTGTTATTTTGCATAGTTATCTTCAGAAGAGTTGCTCAGAATATCAGATATAGACATGCAAAATTCATCTCCTATGAATATTAACTATTTTGTTCCAAGAACTAATAGTAGTACAATCATCTTAGCTATCTAAAGTGTGTACAAATTTATATCTTTTTCCTTTTCCTTGACTTATTTTTCCCCTTTGAGCAGTTTCTTACCCTTTCACAATATTTATTGAAGATTTTATATCTTATTTACTCTTTCATTGTCTTACACCAGGGAGAAAATACAGAATTTATGCATGTGAGTGATTTATTTCACTTATGAGTATGGTCTCAAGTCACATCCATTTATCTATAAAAGCCTCAATGTGATCATTCTTTATAGCTGAGTAATACTCCATTGTATAAAAATACCACATCTTTTTTATCCATTCCTCAGTTAATGGGAATCATTCTTTAATTTTAAAGAACACGAACTTGTACCAGACATCTAGCAGGTTGAGAATTTCTTTCCCCTATATCAGCATGACCTTAGGACTTTCACATTATATCCTCTTAATTTCCATTAAAGAAAACTGAGACTCAAATAAATCATGTGACATGGGCAGTCTAGGGTAGTAGAAACAGTGTCAGATGTAAATCCCAGGCTCACAGCTCATCTCTCCTCTGAGGCTCATTTCCCTCTTGCCAAGTGAAGGTAGTAATTAGGGACTAAATGTAGGTCAGCAGGGACTAAATGGGCCCACATAAAGGTGTCCTGAACCCAGGGCCTGCACACAAGGCCAGCTGGTACTCAGTAGGATATCGTCCAGTCTCATGTGACTGCTGGATAATCCCTTTCTGACCTTTTTCTCAAAGTTGCTATGAAAAGTAAGACGAGAAATAGAGGAGAGACTGAAGATATAAATACCAGGTAGTTGTTCTGTGGGGCTGACAGTAACCACCCAATTAAGATCTACTAAGCCCGTTTGAGAAGCTGGCTAAGTACTAGGAACCAAAGGCTTGATATCTTGGAGTTCCCATTTGGGCCTGGACCTCTCCAAGAAGAAAGAACTCTTCCAAACCACTGTGCTTGGCAAGCCTGGGCTCCAGGACGAAGGTTTCATCTCCATCACTCTCGCTCCCTGTCTTGAACTAAAACATGAAGCAAAGTTCATGTGTGACCTGAGGCTTGGCTCTCAGCTTTCTCCAAGAGCAACTGGGAACTGGAGTCCACAATGTTACTGCTGAGGGCTGCTAGCGGGTATTGAGCTGGGACAGCTGCACCCTCTCCCTAGGGAGAGTTGTGCTGCCTCAGATCTGCAGCCAAGCGCCATCGGACACCTGATCCAGCCATGGAGCCATCCAGAGATGAGTCAAGGCCTACAGGGCCAGAGTGGAAGGCAGGCAGCCAGGTGCTCTTTAGCAGACAGCCTTGAGGAGGAAGGTAGGAATCAAAACCAAATGAGGTAGATGAAAATTCAAAGCTCTGGTCACTGGTGGGAGAAGACACTTTCTCCCTTACTCAGGCTTGTTTTGTTTTGTCTGTTTTTGTGTCTTGAAACAGGGTCTTGCTATGTACAGTCTAGCCCTGAACTTGGTATGTTGCCCACATTTGCCTTGAACTTGCAATCTCACCTCGGTTTCCCCGGTGCTAGAATTAAAGGGATATGCCACCACATTCAGCCTGTTTTTAACAGTTTTTAAGATGGGAAAACCTCTTCTGTAGACTTCTCTTCAATTCTCATTTGCTAAAAGTGAGTCACATGCCCATCTGTAGGCTAATCCCTGGTCGGGGGTTAGAATGATCCTGATTGATTTTGCCTCAGTTTCCTAGAGGAGGCTGAGTCTCCGAACTCAGAGAAGGGAGGCTCTGTGTGGGGAAGAGGAAAGAGAAGTTGGACCATTAGCCACACAACCAATGATCCCTGCTCCAGAGACCTGTTCACATCCAGCAAGAAGAGAGCATGTCAAAACTTACAATAGATCCAACACAGCCTTGAAGCCAACCAGCTGGGTCCCAGTTGCGCCTCTTACCAGTTAAAAACTCAGTCTTGAAGAGCCATGGAGTCATCTAACAGGACCTCTGTGAGCCTCAAAAGAAGTAATTTGATGTTTATGCAAGACTTTCACAGACTAACCTCGGCCCTGTGGGATATCCTCTGTGACAGTGCTCAAGTGTGGTTGCTGGGGTCAGAAGATAAGACTGTCCTAAGGCTGGATGCTGACCTTGGTCTGATCTAGCACAGCACTTTCTTCCCTAGGGCAGCATTGGAATCAGAACAGTGCTTGACAGGCTAAGGAAAGAATGAGGACTGGGCCAGCTTCCAGGTCCCTAGGGCAACTGAGACATGCGGTGTATCACTGTTTGTCCTCCCACAGCCATTGCATCGGCCCTGTAAAGAGCGTTTTCTCTGGGCCTTAGAGCATGTGTGAATTTAAAGCTCTAATTCAGGAAAAGATCCTCTGCCCAGGCACAGATTAGGGAGAATTCATCATGTCAGACATCTGACTGTCTGCCCTGCATGCACGCACTTGCCATGGCCAGAAGCTAGTGACAGCTAATCCATTAGAATCAGCTCTTTAACAGGTTCACATTTTAAGTAGCAGCTAATATTGACTGAGCCTTTACTAGATGCCAAACTCTGCACTAAATGTTTTAGATTTGTGAATTCACTTAATCCTTACAGAAACCTATAAAGCAGGTATTATTGTCCCCATTTTACAGCTAAAGAAACCAAGGCATAAAATAGCTTGCTGACAGCCACAACTGGTTAGGTAACAGACCCCGGACCACCCACAGAAGCTATTTCCAAAGCCCACTGTACTATACAGTGGTTTTTTGGTGTGCTTTATTTGTTTGGTTTGTTTTGAGACGGGATCTCAGCATGTAGTGCAGGTGGGCCTTGAACTTGTCATGTGGGACTGAATTTATGATGATCCTCTTGCTTCAGCCTCCTGGTTGCTGGGATTACAGGCATGTGCCACCGTGCTGACATTTTGTTTTGTTTTGTTCCTGTTTTCAATAGTTTGTGAGGGGAGATAGTACTGGGGAATCGCAATGAGATACATCCCTAGCCTTTTTTTATTTTTCATTTTGAGACAATCTCACAAACATGACTAAATTGCCCAAGTCAGGCTTGAATTTGTAATTTTTTTCCACCTCTGCCTTCCAGAGTACTAGGATTACAAGCCTGTCTTACTACCCCAAGCTTAGACTGTAATTTTTAGAAAAATTAAAGTTACAGAAAAACTGAGTGGAAGGTTTCCCATATGCTCCTACCTTCCTACTGTCAACAGCCCCCAGCACAGTGGCCCACGATTATAAAACATGAAACTACCCAGACACATCGTTATCACTCAAAACCTCATTTCCGTTAGGGTTTACTTTTGATGTGATTTCCTGCAGGTTCGGACAAGTGTACAATCACAAGTATCCATCTTTGTAGCACCAAACAGAATAGAATCATTGCTCTAAAATAAATCCTCTGTTCTTTTCTAATGTGCCCCCTTTTCTCCTAATCTCTGACAGCCATTGATGCTTTTACTGTCTAATTTTGGTTTTTCTAGGATGTCACGTAGTTGAAATCACACAGTATGTAATTTTCTCAGGTTGGCATCTGCCTCTTCTCAATAGGCATCGAAGAGTCTTCTGTGTCTCTTCATGGCTTGAGGGTGTTTCTTTTTTTTAATTCCTAAATAAAAGTCCATTGTCTGAATGTACCACAACTTATTTATTTACTTACCTATGCAAAGACACCTCAGTTGCTTGTGAATTTTGACAATTATCAATAAAACTGCTGTAACATCTGTGCTTTAGTTACTTTTCTTATTGCTAGACAAAATACTCGACACCCAGAGTTAAAGGAAGAAAGGTTTAATTGGCTCACAGTCTGTAGAGGTTTCAGTCCATAGTTGGCTGGCTCCAAGGCAGGGAAGCATGGCAGAGGGGCATCACAGAGGAGAAACAGTTCATGGGGGGCAGAAGGCAGGGAAACAGCCAAGCCGTGAAGCAGTAAGCAATGACAGCAGCTTTCTTTCTGCCCATTTTTTTCTATCGCTAAGGGCAGAGAGCACTCACAGTGGGGGAAGGCCTTCCCCTTATCCACACCCAGAATTGTGCCAAACCAATCAGTGGAGTAATTTAGTAATCACCCTTGATGCTCTGACAACACTGAATGGTGTACTACTGGCCCTCTGTGTATCTTTCTTGGTGCAGTTGTCTGTTTAAGACTTTTGCCCATTTTAAAATCAGGTTATTTGCTTTCTTGTTGAGTTTTACAGCACAGCATTTAAGGGTACACTTACTGATTCAGGGAGTGCTGGGGATGGAAGAGCCTCAGGAATCATCCAGTCCATCCCTCTCATTTTACATATGTGAAAACCAGAGCCCAACACTCAGGTACGAAGTGAAACCAAAGCCCATGCATGCACCCCTCACCACAGTGCATGTGATCAGGCCATTTCCCTTGAGAGTCGCCGGCTCATAATGACAGGAGTCACTGCTGACCACCCGTCCTGCCCCTACACAGTGCCTGGCACATGCTCCATGCATGTCTGTGGGAGAGGAAGAGATGAGCTTTCCTGGCATCTATGCATCTTTCCAAAGAGCAGTCCCTCTGCTCTGTAAAGAGAGAGAGAGGAGAGAAAATTCACACCCCAGATATCCCATGATGTAATGGGGGAGCAGAGGCCAGGCCAGACTCAGTCTTGGCTGTGCTCAGCACCAGCCATGGGTTTGTTAAAACCTGGGTAGCAGAGTCCCGTCCCCAGACTAGGGAGTTGTATGCCATTCTTTTGCTTGCTAACTTCCAGGTCCTGAATTAAGTGCTTTATGTACTTATTTAATCCTTTCTCTCTCTCTCTCTCTCTCTCTCTCTCTCTCTTTTTTTTTTTTTTTTTGTCTTTTTCATTTTTTATCGGTACCAGGGATCGAACTCACGACTGCCTGCTTGCAAGGCAGGTGCTTATGCCGCTGAGCTAAACCTCCAGCCTTTCTCACTCTCTTCTATGATGTAGGTCTCGGTATTCTCACTCTACATTGAGGAAACTAGAATTGAGAAAAGTTATGGAACTCAAAGATCTTCGCACAACTGGTACGTGCTGGAGCTGAAGTGTGACCAAGACAGTCTGACCGCTTTCTGAGTCGCTGACCGGCCTTCATCCCACATATGAGTGTGCAGGTGCATACACACATGTTCTTTCCGTGTAACTCTCTGTGAACTCTATGTTTTAAGCCCCAGGAAGCTGAACAGCAGAAAGTGCCAGACCCCAGAAGGCTGCCACAGGAAAGTCCATTGGTGACCACAGGGGCAGACCCTGAGAGCTCTCCATGAGGTCAGCATCACGGCCCATCACCTCTACCGTGGACCAGAGATTGGAGACACGAGAACCCTCATTTCTATTGGCACACACTTGGGGAGAGATCTCACTCTTGTTTTAAATATTTCAGTGAATTTGTAATTGATATGTAACATACAAACAAAAAAGTGAACAACTTGATGAATTCTCACAAACTGAACACCCCTGCTGTCTTGGTCCCTGTGGGCTGCCATAACAGAAGAGCATACCAAAGCAAAATTCTATTTCCTGCAGTGCTGGAGGCTAGAAATTCCAAAGTGTAGGTGCCAGCAGATCCGGAGTCTAGCAAGGGTCCACTCCGGGACACCGTCTATGAACACAGAAGAAGGAACAAAGACGTTGTATCTCTCTTTAGGAGCATTCATGAGGAATCCTCCCTCCCGACCTGTCAACTCCCAAAGGACCCCTGCTTATGCCATCACAGTCCAGTTAGGATTTCAACCCAAGATTTAGGGGGGGCAGGAGCGTTGCCTATGACACCTGGTAACCAGCTCCACTATTTGGTAGCAACCTTATCCCTGGATTCATCATCTTTAGGCATCTGCGGTTATCTTTTTGTTTGTTTGTTTTTGGTACCAGGAATCAAACTCAGGACCTTGCACTTGCCAGTGCACTTGCTGTGCCACTGAGCTAAATCCCCGGCCCATCTGCAGTTATCTTAGCAAAAGTCACTGAGGACTTTAGGCATTTCTGAAATTGAATTTTATATCACAGATAAACATCCTTTTACAAAGAGGATATTTTAAAAACAAAAGAAAAGCAAACAGCATCACAACAAAAAGCAACAGAGCACTGCAAGTCTAACGAGGACTTCGAATCACTCTGTTGCTATTTTAAATAAAATGTGGGGTTTAGGAAGCACATTGGTATTTATTCCAGATCATTATATCACAGAGGGGAGGCTCTTCACATTCAGACATGTTGTTTTTTTTCCCCAGGGCAGTCAGTGTAAAAGTGACAGCCAAGAGGAGGGGCCCTCTGTCCTGGGCCACCTTCGTGTGTCCCACTGTGTAGCTCACACTTGGCATCGTGCATGGGTAGCTCTGCTCACAGGGGTCAGACAGACAGGCCAGTTAAGGCTCAGCATCAGACAAGCTGGGCTTCACTCAGCTTCTACAATAGCCCACCTCAGTGACCATGAGCAAGCCACCCCACTTCCTGAGGCATCAGTGTGTAAAGGGAGTCGGGGCGATGCGATTGCAGTGCGGGAAATGGGGTGTGGAACGTGCTTAAAGTCACTACCATAATTCCTGCGCCTGGTTCTAGAAAGAGGCAGAGAAAGAGAGCAATCTTCACATCCCACACCAAGGCAGGATGGGAAGGAGAGAGGTAAGGGGAATTGTATCATCCTGCAGACAGGGGATATTTATCACCTCCCTGCTGTGGAAATGTCCAGGGGCAGGTTGATTCCTGCAGGTCAGCAATGAGATGTCTGCGCCAAGCCAGGAATAAAAGTATTGATTCTTGAATTCTGAAAGCTCAAGCTGACAAAGTCAGCAATGTGACAGTCCCTTCATCTGGAGGGTCTCTTGATCCAGCATAAATGAACACTGTCAACTAGGAAGTTATCGGCGGCCTGTCTTAGAAACGCCCAGATCCACGTGAGATTGGCTCAAAGAGAGGTTGTCATGGCAACCAGGAGGTTGGTGGTTGAAAGAATTTGAAGAAATGCACCCCCTGAATTCAGAACTATCTTGTAAGGAGCCTGGCTCCCTGTGCCTAAATATTGGGGTCCTGAGGGCAGGAAAGGGCATAGCCCTGCCCATCCCTCCACTTCACACAGCACGTGGAGCTCACAGCTTCCCAGAAGGCTTATTACACTATGCCGGAGTGGGGAGAAGGCAGTCTCAGGATAATTACCATCCCAAAATAGCTCTCTGGAAATTATCAGCCGCAGAGCCCTGGAAATCAGGCAGGAAGCTAACTTTGGGCTCCTCAAAGCCAACAGACAAAACGGATCCTGGACAAATTGACCACTTTCATTCTGTCCCTCCGGAGCCCAGTCCTCCTTGGGATGTCTCCATGATAGCACTATTCCACTAACAACTCATATCCTGGTGTCATAAGGTAAAGGTGTTAGGATTATACTTCCCAGGGACTTTTCATTCCAATGAAGACTCTTGAAAGTCAAAATACATTCAGCCTCCTTTACTTAAGGAATAAATCTTCTAATAGGGAGACTCCTGGGACCTCTAAGTGTGAGGATGAGTTAAGAAGCAAGAGGAAGGGAATTAAGGGAAGATATAAGAAATCCTCTTACCAAGAAGGCTATAGTTCAGCTTTAAAGTCCAGCAGGTCTGGGGTTGGGTGGTCCTGTGTGATTTTGATAGGAGTCTCATATCTAAAGCTGAAAGAGATTGCCTAACTCACGCAACTGTCAGCACAAAGCTTGGCATAAGGTCTCAAGGCTTCAAGTAGGACCAGTTAGGAAGACCATGGTTCATGTCCAGCCAAGGACCAAAAATGGATCTAACAGTCTGGCGTGGGTGGGGCAACTCATCTCTAGCTTCAGGCATTAGATGCTGATGGAGAGGGAGGCTGGGAGGAGCCCACTAACAGCCAACACTCAGTGTGAATATGCTTCCAAGCTGTTTCTCCCAGAGGTGACACAGAAATCTTGAAAGCGCTGGACTCTGGGAGAAGGGAAGAGAGATGGAAGCAGGAGGACCCTGTGCTGGTCACTGCCTGGTTCAAGGACTCCCAAGACATGAGCACTACAGAGGGAAAGAGAAGGCACCGGACAAAGAACCTGTGTTCTCCACAGGATGCCCTTAGGCCTGGGGTGGTGGCACCCTCAGCGTGCAAAGCTGTGAACTGCTGTTCTAACTAACCAAAGTGGTTGGCTTGTATGAGGCTAGTGTAGCTGCTAGCCACAGAGTGTGAGCTAGAAGAAGCATCCCAGTCCATCTGGTGGAAGTCAAGATTTGAGACCATCCCCTGGACATCCCCCACCAAATAAAGCCTCAGCTTTGCTCAGAGGCCTACTACCCTTCCTTCTCTTCTGGGCAGCACTGTGCAGAGCAGAAATACCAGGTCTATCCCAGCTGGCAACTTCCGGTCAGGTGATCAGAGCCATCCATCCAGGCTACAGCCTTATCTGTTCTATACAGCAGCAGGGTATTTCTATTTACAGGATTGTGAGGTTAAGTGTGTCATGCCTATGAAGCAGTCAGAACAGGTACCTGGGATCCCTAGACTCCCAATAAATGACTCTTGTTTGACAAGTCAAATAGGTTTTATCCTCTGTTTTCTTGTCTCTCCCTATGCCCCTGTTGACATCCCAAGAGGGATGTTAGCAGGCGTGTTTGTCAGCCGCAGATAACAGAAAACCCACCCAGCAGCGCCTAATTAGGTGCTCGTGCTCCTCAAACACCGACAAGCCTGGAGGCAAACAGCTGCTGGCTCTGCCATAGCTGCTGCTGTGACTGCTGCTGCTCCACATCTCACAGCTCAAACCAGACAAAGAGAAAAGACAATGCCTTTTACAAAATAGTTTTTAAAAATTTAGTTGCCTTTATTTAAAAAAAAAAGCAAAAAGCAAAATATTTCCCCCAGCAGATTTTTACTGGCACTGTGTCACATGGTCACTTCTAGCTCCCAGGGAAACTGAGAAATCAAACTCCTCTATTTTCCAGGCTGAAGAGCAGAGACAGGTCAGAAAGAAAGCAACTTGGAAAGCGTGGCTAAGGAAACCACCACACAGGTCCGCCGTGCTGGGCACTGGGTGAAATAGTGTTTCGTGTATTTATGCAGCAAGCTTTTATTGAGCACCAGCTGCATGCTGCAGAACATTGAGTAGATCAGCTTTGGCACTCTGAGGTGGTGAGTGGTAGACCTGTTGCTAGGGGAAGGGCTGGGAGGATGCTGGCAACGGCTGGAGTAAGCAGGAGTCTGGAGAGAGGTGGGTAGACTGTCCATGCCAGACAACAGGAAAGGCATGTGCAAAACCCAGCAGAGGGCGATCAGGGAAGGCATCCTGGGAGCTGAACAAGTCCCCTCCGAAGTCTGCAAGAAGACAACATTGACACCTGGACACACAAGACAGGTGTGATGGTGCAGGCCTGTAATTCCTGCACTTGGGAAACTGAGGCAGGAGAATAGTTGTGAGTTTGAGGCCAGCCTGGGCTACGAAGTGAGCTCAATGCCAGCCTGAACTGCGTGCTGAGACCCTGTCTCAAAAAGACAAACAACAAACAAACAAAATTGGACACACATAATGAGGTATGAGTACGTTTGGTTGACAGGACCATTAAACCATTCTCTGCGGGTCGCTTCCCATGGGGGAGCCCCAGTCTTGCACATCTTTGAACACGGAGACTGTGAGAAGCAGACAGGCCTGCATGGCAGGGCAGTGGCCCTGTGGACACTCCCAGCCACTAGTGTAGCGAGGGGGACCCAGCCTTTGGGGTCTCTGCCTCCCCATCACTGTCCATCTCTTTGGTTCACTCTCACCCCTCCCATCTAACGTCTTTGCCTCTTCTTCTCCTCCCTGCTCTGGGAGAACTTTTCTTACCTTCCCCCACCCTGACATTTGGCAATTTCTGGATGCTCCATGTACCAGAGTTCCCGCCTCACAGTTCTTACCACGCTGGCCATGTTGCATCTGTTTATGTAGAGTGTTTTAAAAAGTCAGTAATTCCTGGTAGACTGTGAATCTATGAGGGCAGGGTCTGAGGTCACTTGTACGCACTGTCATATCTCCTGTATTTGCTTTTGCCTGGCACACAGTGGGAGCTCAAGACATGTCAAAAGCTGGGCTATGCCAAATTGGCAATATTTGATCACCAGTGCCCTGTACAAGTGGTAATTTCATATTCTTCCTAATTTCTCTTGGCTGAATGATCTTTTCCCTGGGCACTGTCCACTGCCTGGAGCACTCACCTTGGGACTATCAGAAAGGGCGGGGATTTTTGGTTGTTGTTTTGTTTTTTCTTTTTTTACAGCAGGCTTGGTGGTGCATGCCTGTAATCCCAGTATCTGGAAGGCTTAGGCAGGAAGATCAAAAGTTTAAGGTCATTCTGGGCAATTTAGAGATTTAGTGAGAACTCCTCTCAAAAAAACAAAAATCCAAAGGGCTAGGGAAGTAGCTCATGCGAAGGCCCTGGGCTTAATCCCCAATACCACAAAAAAGCAGTTTTCCCTAAAACTGTACAGAGCTGAGAATCTGACCCCTGGCCCAGGTCTAGACTTCAGCAGAGTTCCTCATGTTGTAGTGGGCATCCGGAGCCTGGGCACCTTGCTAATGTGCGGATTTTGAGTCAGCAGGTGGGGTAGGACCTGAGATTCTGCGTTTCTAACCAGACACAAGGGGTTAGTCAGAGAGCAAGGGTGCAGGGGATAGAGCTAGCTGCTGAGGATCCTTGGTGTCACACCAGGCCCCCTCTTGTCTTTTTTTCTTTCTTTCTTTCTTTCTTTCTGACAAGATCTCACTGTATAGTGCAGGCTCCCCTTGAACTTGCTCGTGCAGCCCAAGCTGGCCTCAAACTCACGGCACTCCTCCTGCCTCGATCTCCTGAGTGCTGGGATTACAGGTGTGCACCACCGCACCCAGCTGTCCCTCTTGTTTCTTTCAAGACTCAAAAAATCACTTGACTCTTGGTTATTACCACAGAGAAAAAGTTGAGATGCTGTCATGAACTGAGCCCTCTGAGTTCAGAAACGTTTTCTGTAGTTGGTGGAAAGAACCCTAATGTTAAAGTTCCCATCTTGCCTTCTTAAGCAGGGTACATCCAACAAAATTTGCCTCTTTCTCCTTCAGTCTTTTAAAAAGTATTGGTGAAATACAGAATATATGTAAAGAAAGCATATGTATATAGTTTACAGAATGTAAATAAACGTAACAGATTCATAACTTAGATAAGGAAAAAAATCACAACAATACTTTTAAGTCTCTTCTTTCCCCAAACTATATGTTAATCACATCTTTGTTTTATATAAATGGAATCCTATTTATGCAGTTAATCTTGTGTTTAGTTCCTTTTGATGAACATTGTGTCTTTTTTTTTTAATATTTTTTTTTAATTTTATTTAAGGAGAAAAGAAAAAAAAAGCAGGGAAAGGGTACAAGTTATACAGATTTACAGAAAAAAAATGAACAGTAGGAAATCACTAGTTAATGGATTACATATTGTCATCTTAGAAATAATTGTTCAAGTCACAAAATTAAAGCTTGTAAAGTGGACATTCTATCAATGATACTGCAAACAGTTCTGTTCATTGATCCAGTAAAACCCTGTGATATCATTTTCTATCTTATACACTTAAATATACATGCAGTTATATAGTTTGGAGCACTTTCTTTTCCTCTCTTTTGTACCATGACTATTACACATTTTGGGTTTCATTGCTCCCATGGTTCTTATTACTTTTTTGGAAGAGAGTAAAACCAAATGTGACATAACAGAACAGAATCGGTCAAGTCAAAAGGGTGGATATAATAGATAATGTAAAAACATAATACAAGGTGATCAACAATGGTTACCATAATGCCTCCCGCTATCTCTAATAGAATTGCCTATATCATTAGTTATAATACAGTTGAACAGAACAGTAAAGAATAAAACCAACAAAACCAAAACATTGGAGACATTGTAGGTCTTCAAAAGTAGATAAAAGTCAACAAGAATGGGCGTCATAATGAATCTCATTATCTTCACAGCTGATGCCTAAACTTTCGAACCTGATACTATCCAGCAAAACAGAATAGGGGAACATCAGTTAAAAACCAGATGGTGAGAGTAATACAGGGCTTTAAATCAAGGTAATGAAAAGTCAAAGTGGGTTACTATAATATATCCTGCTATTTTTTTCCTTTAATTAAAAGGATAAAGATAAAAAAGTAAATAATGGAGTGGAGATTGAGATAAAAGAGGGCATAACAACAAAACAGCGCAGATCAAAACATAACCATTTAAGCAGAATAGTATTTCACCACCAGATAATCCTAACCTAAAAGTAGTTACCATATTGTCTCTTTGAAATCCTTGAGTACAACTTCGTATACTGTAGCATTAAGTATATCAAAACAATGTAAAACCATTCAAGAGAATGACAGCATTACAGAGTATTTAGAATCGACTAACAGAAAATGAACAATGGTTTCTGTATAATCTCCTTGTCTTTAAAAGGTTTTTGCTTATACTATCGTACATAATAAAATCCAATAAGATACAGCCTATTTAGACCATTGGAGACAGAAGGACAAAAGCTAGGTGAGACTTCAAAACAAGATGATACTAAATCAGTATTACCTATTAAGATGTCATTTTCTCCAAAATAGCTGTTCCTATCATCCAATCTTCTCTGTCTCATTTCTGTTGAGCTCTTTTTCCGTCAGTAGCTGTCAGTTTGTCTTCTTCATTTTGTTCTCTGCTCCATTCGTTGTGGCCTCCCCACCACTATTTCTGGGTTCTTTGTATTTTTCTTTTTTTAGAATATCCTGCAATACTTTCTGTAGGGTTGAATTGGTGGTTGCAAATTCCCCCAGTTCCTCTTTATCCTGGAAGCACCTTGTTTTTCCATCAATTTCCAGGGACAGTTGTGCAGGATATCTCAATCTTGGCTGGAGATTATTATCTTTCGAAGCTTGAATTATTTCCCCCCATGCTCTTCGTGATTTGATGATTTGTGCAGAGAAATCTGCTGTAATTCTGATGGGTGTTCCCTTGTAAGTGGTCTGTTTCTTGTCTCTTACAGCTTTTAATATTCTGTTCTTGTGTTGAATTTCTGGAATTTTTATTATTATATGCCTGGGTGTTGCTCTGTTTGGGTTGTAGGTAGCTGGGGTCCTGTATGCCTCATACATCTGAGTATCTTTACCTTTTGCTAAATTAGGAAAATTCTCCTGGATTATTTCTGTGAGTAGCTTTTGTAGTTCACTTGTTTGTGTCCCTACTTCTTCTTTTATGTTCTTAATCCTTAAGTTATGGATCCTCTTATCATCTTCTTGTCTTTGTATTATTGCTGTTTGTTTCTTTGTTATTTTTAAGAAGTTTTTCATTTCATTCTCCCATATTACAAGTCTGCCCTCCAGTTCAGATAGTCTGTCCTTAGTTTCTTTCAAGCTGTTATGCCAGTCTTCTATAGACTTCTTAGTATCTTGGTAGTCCCTTTGAACCTGCTTCACGTATTCTATGCTTTCTCTGTTTTCTCCATCAAACAATTCTCCCCTTTTTTTCTGTTCTTCCATTCCACCACCTGTTTTTTCTTGGGTGGTACTTAGCATTTCTCT